ATAAAAAATATATATTTAAAGTTTTATCTAAGTTAAATAATTATTTATTAAATTATATTAAAAAATATTAGTCCAAAGACTTTTATAACAGAATGTATCTATCATACTTCTCTTTATATTTCTCACTATTTGTATAATTCATTTTCATTTTAACACTATAAAATAAAATTAAAAATATAAATTTTTATATAAAACTTCATATTATTAAAAGTTGTTTTTAGTAATATATTTGGTTATTATAATTAATATTATTTATAGAACCTACATATTAATAATATTGATTACAGTATTGCCTGTAATGCAATAAAAATTTTGCAAATTATAATAACATAGTGATATCTTGATCAAGTTAATCTACACTTTAAAACTTTATAAAAATTTTATTTAATAAATTTACTCCAATTTTCCTATAACAATTATATCTTAAATAATTAAAAAATTATACATAATTTTTTAACAATAAATATATTATAATTGGACAATTACAATTTAGTCATATTAATTTGCCTTTTTTTGTTGGCAATAAAAATACAATGATAAATTTTAATTAGACACGATGTTTTTTGGAAATTTGTATTATCATTAATAAATAAAAAACTATGCTTTATATACGTATTTTGTACAAAAATATCATAAATAAATAAATTCAATCATGCAACAAAAAATACGATTTCATTTTTAAATTAAAATAGTTATAATAATAATTATTATTACAGCTTATCATATTATGTGATAAAAAGTGAACCTCAATTAAATAACCTGGCTCGATGATAGATGTAAACCTATCGTTAATTTTAAAATTCCAACAGAAATCACAGGAATTACACTATAAATAAAATAAAATTTGTAAAATAAGAACAAAAAAAACATTTAGAGTCAACTAGCTACTGTATATAAATCGATAATGTGTTTACCATCAAGTTTTTTTCTAATTACGACACCATCCTCAAATTATTTGCAGTAGAATCTATTATGAAGGTAAATTTATTAATATATAGGTTAATAAATACTATTTAATTACAGTATATTTAATATAATAAATCTTACCTGTTGTGTTAATACTAACTGATTCATCATGCCGCTGAGACATATTAACGCTTTTAACTAATTTGTTATATAGTTGAGAAATATCATCAGTATCAATGAATTGACTTGTATATGTGTCATCTTGATGTTTCTGCAAAGTTACGGGTAGCTGTTTGGCTATTTCATCGGATTCCCAAAATTTATTACTTATTTCTACCTTTTCTGTTTCATCAAGTTCGTCGAGATCTATTACACTTATGTCATCTTCGACAATTTTAATTTCATCAAGTTCTTCTATAAAACCATGCCATTTTTCAAGGTTTTGAAAAATAACTTTAGCTGTAGGCCGCTTTTGTGGATCTGAATTCATGCATAGTTTTGCAAAATCGGCATAGAAATCGGGAGTTCCTTGAGCAAAATTTGGTCGCAATCCGTTACAAATTTTTAATGCAAAATCGATATTAAATATATGACCATCAAACGGCGGCATTCCAATAGTTATTTCTGCCATAATAACACCAAAACTATATACATCTGATGCTTGCGTGTAATTTTCGCCTAATAAAACTTCAGGTGCAATATAGGGCATTACTCCATAAAATCCTTTCTTATTTTCGGAACCTTTTTTTTCTCGAGATAATCCAAGATCTATAATATAGGATTTCGCTCTTTCAAGCCACGATCCCTCTTTATGTAAAACAATATTTCCACTATGTAAATCACAGTGTATGTATCCAGCTTCATGAATTTGAATCAAATCCTTTGATATATTCATCAGTCGCGACAATTTATCTTTCCAAATAAGTCCTTTAAAATTCGATTTCAAATAACAACGAAGATTACCATTATTGGCATATTTAAGAACCATCATATATTGATTTGTAGTCGTATTTTTAGTTAATCCATATACTTCTAGGCTACTACCCATTAACCTACATTGCATATGATTTTTAAACTTATAAATAAATAAACTTATTATTTTATTATTAGTTAAATATGAAATTTCATAAAACCAATATAATAAAGCTTACTTCTCTTAAAAAATCAGCAGAACTTGTTGGAGAACCGGGTAAGGTTTTAAGTGCGACGGTATAAGGTTGTGTACGTGACTGCTTAAATTCCTCGCCGTTATTTAGGATTTTTCGTTTTCCATCTAACCAGATTGCGGAATAAACGTATCCAAATCCCCCTTTTCCGATCTCTCGTATATTACTCAATCTATTAAAAGGAATCCATTCTATCACTTCATCATACTCGGTGGCTATAGATTGAAACTCCTTAATACAATTATCAATATCGATACTTTCGCTTGTCCATCCTTGAGTTATTTTAAAGG